CCCCAAAACCCCAAAACCCCTCTAGGATCATTTCTTTTATAAAATAATTCTGGTCTGAATTTAAAATTAAAAGTGAATTAATTTTTAAATAGCATAGATACTTTGAACTTAACACAGGATTCGAGAGTTTCCAGTATAAGTTCTTAGTACTCGTGGGAGTGCTGACACTATTTTAAGCATTCTAGTTAATGTTCATTAGATCTTGTTTCTCTCGAAGAACTAGATGTTTTCTTGATTATTGAAGTATTCAACAATTGCTTCTTGAGCTTTGTCTAATGGATCGTGATCTTTCTTGGCTGCAATATCATTCTTTGTCTTTTCGAAGTACTTTTCAAGCACAAAGAACATCTTATTTCTATCGAATGTCTCCTCTATTGTAAATGTATTAGCATAAATGGAATCGCTTACTTTTATTTTCTTTGTACCTCTCGAATTCCTTCACATAGTTTTCTTCATGTTTAATGACATCCTCGAATTTCTTTGAGAACTTATCAAGTATTGGTCTCTTTGGCTCAGAGTAGGCTTTTTCATCAATTGGTCTTTATTCTTTGAGACTTTGAAATTCCAAGTCTTTCTTGTAGAATTATTCAAAAGAAGTCAAATCCTATGAAATCTCAATCATTTTATTTTCGTCATGTCTAAATTGATTACGCTATCTCTCAAGACTAGCCAAGTACGCGATTAGTTTAAATTATGCATCTTCATTCTTAACTTTTCTATTTTCTTCGGCTTAATAGTGCTCTGTTTTAGCAAACTACCTGAATTCATCATGCCTCTGCCCCTCAATCTATCTATCTACAGAATGTCCGAATTACTGAACTATATTGAAATCTCTAACTACCTATTATGAAAGTCTTGGCATAATGCTCTGATGAGTTAACTACTTGATCAGAATTTTATCATATGCAAGTAGTTCGTTTCTCGAGAGAGTTTTTTCTAATTATCCTCTAGCTTAAAATACCTCATCTAAAATAGCTCTCAATTAATAGTCTATGTATAAGTCTGCTGGCTTTCTGGGGTCAACTGCATCATTGATATATTCTGGTAATTTATGAGGATTCTTTGGATCAAAGCCTCTTAACTCGGTACTTAACCCATTTTTATCTTTTTCTAAAGCTTAGGCGGTTGAGATATCTAGTTCCATAAACTCAGTGAAGCTGCTAGGGAATAAGATTGGTCTGTCAAACTAGCCTTTCTCTCTTTGTTGAGCGAGTTTGTGGAAAGAAATTGGTGCACTTCCGATTTTGTCTCCTTCGAATGGATAATACTAAGTAGCTCTCTGAGTTCTATCTCCAGTATATAGCTTGTCTCCCTCTTTATAGTTCTAATTATCCTTAGTATATTTCTCATTTAGTTAATCCACTAATTAGTTGATGTTAACCACTTGAGTTCTCTTTTTTAAGAAATATTCTCCAAGTAATTCGTCAAATAGTGTTTAGTGAGCGAGTTCTCTATTCTTCTCCTAGTTTTTAGCTCTCTCATCAATATTTTCATAACCAACTGCCTCAGTGTTGCTGAGATGCGATAGATTTTATGATGATTCAGGATCGTATTGAGTGAATGGTTCAGACATAACGCTTTCATATGTAAGATCAGCGATCTCTGCTGGATTATCAAGATTCAACTCTCTGATTACTTCCTCTTTGAGGCCCTGAATGTAGAAATGGCCCACCTTAGAGTTAACTCTTTCCTTAAAGCCTGGGGTATACATGAGATCTCTCATTCTCTTCTCAGTGTATTCAGTTATCAATCTTTAGACCTCATTTTCATCAAAGTTAACAAGAGCATATTGCTGAAGAATTTTGTTTTGATAGTCAGCTTAAGTGAATTTAAATTCAGTATTCATCTTTACAAACTATTTAACATCAACTAGCAGATCTTCAAGCTCAGCCTCTGCGGGCTCTATGTTCTCAAGAACTCCAGTGGTTGGGTTGATTCTCTGTATAGAATATGTTGGTGGGAAATAATTTGGCTATTCTATTTCCATTTTAATTTCACTATCTAGCTTTAGACTTTCATTATAACTCATTCCTTTTTCAAAAGCATCTAAGACTTCAATCGATTTTTAGTCATCAACAAATGGATTATTTCTCATATCTCCAATTACCTGCTCAACGAATTAAGGTTAATCTGATTCAATTGGTTCTCCCAGAGTGTTAACTATTAAATTTCTAATAACCTCATTCGAATATTAGCTAAACTGCTTTCCTGTATTCATTTGCTGATGTCTCTTCATATACTCTCCTAATCTAATGTCTTTTCTCCTATCGTTTGAAATAAATCTTAAAGATTCATTAACATAGTCTAGGACTGCTAGAGACTACTCCTAAACCTTTTCATTGACAAACTTGTCATTTTGAGTGCTAGAAATTATTTCTCTAGCTTAGGCAATTGATATCACATCTAACTTAATATCCTGGTAGTTCTTCATAAGTTCATTAATCAATTTGCCATCCTTAAGATCCTTGCTAATCTTTTCTCTGTTTAGGATGCTTGAACTTTCATACAGCTTCTCATATTGCTTATTTCTGAGAATCTATTCAAGTTTAGAATAGTCTAAGTATTAATTGTCACTTGATAAGATGTTGCTAATTTAGTCTTAGTGCTCTTGGGGCATAACTCTTGCTAGATTTTTAACATTAACCTTAACTTCTTTTTCTCTTTCTAATTAGCGATTCAATTCTGTTAGGTTCTTTACCTTATCTGCAAGGCTTTTTGAAGATCTGGACATCTCTTACTTTTAAAGAAGAAGCTGCTCAAAAATTGATACTTTTTCAGTCTCGTCAAGCTGATTTACCTTTTTATCGTAGAAATCGTAGATTTTCTCTAAATCTCTTAATTTTTCTTTGTCTGATTCTGCAACTCTTAGATTTTCATAGATGTCTCTTAGGAAACCTGCATACTCAGCTGCTTGGTAAAATGTAGCATCAGATCTTTCAAGAATTTTCTACATTTTCTCCAAGGGGGGTGTAAGCATTTCATCCAAGTATAAACCTTATCTAAACATATGCCTAATGTCCATTTTATGATTCACAATAAGCGCACTAACAATGTGTAGCCAATCTTATCTAGAAGATTATTCAATCAGCATCTCTATATTGCTATTTAGCTCCCTCATAGTGATTTCAACTCTTAATGCCATTGCTTAAATTTGTTCAATTTCACTTGCATTGAATCTGGAAACATTCAGTGAGGGATCATTATTTATTACTTCTTATTCCAATTATTTGACTGATAATTCGACATTCATTTCGTGGAATTCTTCAATATCCTTTTAATATGACAGCTCATCTTTGCTAAATTCTTCATTTAATTCATTAAATAATTTTGCATCTTCTCTCTATCTTTCCTCAAAGAATTTTTCTTGTTGCTCAATATTCATGTGTGCTGGAGGCTAAGCAGTTCCTATTAAATTAAGGTAGGTTCTCCAAGCGAATGATTCCGTACCCTCAGGGAATTTCTCATCAAGTATTTTTTATCTTTCTCTTTCGACATGGTAAGTTATCATATTCTTGAAAATGTCGGAGTGTATAATGTCTCCATGCTAAGTAGCAAACTAATAAGCCTCGAGATAAGTAATAGCCATATCACTCACTTAGAAAGCTTCTCCTACCTTATCAGTTTCTTTTTCCAAAGATTCTTAAAGCATTTAGAATATGAAAGGCTTGGTCATTTCAATTGCATACTTAATCGTTTGCTCAGCATTATGATCATTTAGGAACTAATCGATAACATTAAGAGTAGCAATTTTAGCCTATTCACCATTAGTAGGAGATGTTATAACAGCAAGTCTTTGTTATAGAACGTTTTTATCCAATGGATAGTTTGGATTATTGTTTAAAAGGATGAACTCTAAGCTTTGATAGATTTTTTCTAGCAATTCTTCTCTAAATTTTGCAATCAATGGATTTTATTATCCAGGAGCTAACTCTGGTATCAAATTTTTCATATGTTAATCTTCTCTGATTAATCCATCGATGGCTCGCCTTATGTCTTAAAGTGATCTTGTTTTCATTACAATGTCAGTTTTCTCAGCTCTTCTGCCTTTGATTTATTTTGGTTCTTAAGGGATTTCAGTATTGTAGATTAACCCTAGTAGTCTGTTGAGTTATTATCTCTTAGTTTCTTTTTGCTCTGGACTGAATTCCAAGATCTCATTAACTCCCTCTTAATGCTCAAAATCATTAATAAGTCTAGTGATCACATATTTTAGAGTGTTATATGCCCTTTGATCAACTTTATCTACCCATTCTTTGTATGACATATAGAACTGCAATTATGGAATATTGTCCCATGGGTTGTATCCATCGTTGTAAACTCTATACCAATAATCCCATTCCTCAGCTCTGATGTCTTGGGTTGTCTTGGTCTCTAGAGTGACTGGGCTCTCCTTGTAAGTTGTTAAAATTTTTTCATACTTCTCAGGATTCTCGAATACATCTTTTCTCAACTTCATCAACTCTTCCTTGTTAAAAGTAAGTCTTGTTAAGCTCTAAGCAATTTTTTGATTTTGCATATAATGCTTTGCTAACTCTACTGGAGCAATTGAAACCTTCCCAATAGCTTTTGAGAGATGATGAATTATTGATGTAGATATCTCTGGATGCTCCATATCTAGGAATGTTTTATCCCAATCTTCTTTTAAGTGAACCTCTTTGAATGGCATGCTTGCTATTTACTGTACGCTTTTATCAGTTTGATCAGAATATACTAGTAGTCTCGATTGGAAGAGGAATTTCTTGAATCTTATAAGCATTTTACGTTTATCCAAATCATGGATTTCCTTGCTTTTGTCAAAGACCTTTTAAAGTTTCTTAAGATAAGCTTATTCGAAGATGTCTCTAATATGGCCATTTACTCTCTTATAAAACAATTCCTTGTCTTTTTAAAGGACGGCGAGCTCCTTCTTGACCTTTTCTTTGTATATTTCTTAAAGTTTTGGGTCTGTGCTGAAGTGGTTTAATCTTTCTATCATTACTTTCAGTATTCTCTAGGAGTTTTCCTTTTCATAAAGATGATCTCTAGCTATTTAAATAGTCATAGCTCTATCTCTAATATCGATACCGTGGTATCTGAGAGCATTCTTTAAATCAAAGGAGAATGACTTGCGCACATCTGATTGAGGGGTAGTATCTTCATTAATCCAAAGTCTTAGCTGATCAGTGTATTTTTGATAGTACTGTCTGGTGGGTAGAAGGGCTTTCTCAACTACATTGAGTTATACGGCATCTGTGAATTAGTTCTTTTCAAAAAAGCTTTGGACTTGGTCTGAGGAAATGTCCCTTTTGAATTAAGGCTTTGATCCATACTTTCCTGGTTTTAGAAGGATTTCTTAGACTCCATGATCAAACTCAGAGTCTTCTATTTTGTTTAAGGCAACATTAATTTCATTTTAAAGACAGCCTTTATAATCAAGGTTTTTTGCTTCTCTCAGCATCCTGAGAGTCAGTTTCATAGAGAGCATTGAATTCTTTTCCATTTAATCAAGACACATTTTGGCGAAAGGAGTATTCTCTCTCTTTAAATTCTCTATTATTTCTTCAATTGAGTTTGAATAGAAGCATCTGTCAATAACCTAGAGGTGCTTCTTGAACTTGCTTTTATTTGCATCGAAATTCTAGGGTGTATATCCTTTTATGTAATCAATAAGCCAGCCGTAATAATTATGAAAGACAGTCTGATTGTGCTCTCCTAGGAGTTCACTGTTGGAATCACTTTTTACTCCAAAATTCGCTTCGTTGTATTTGTCCATTTCCATCATATAATACATCTCAGCTTGCTTGTTTGTCTAAGCAGTTCTATCTTTTGGCTCTTAGAACTCAAGCTCAGAAAGTGGATTATGGGAAAGTCTCAGAGCCTCAGATATTCTTAAGCCTCTTTGCTGTTATTAAAAATTTAATTAAGCTCCAGCAATTGCCTTTCTAGTATTAATTCTATCACTGTCAGACAATTAAAATCCAGTTGGATAAGGCATTTCTAGATTAGTAAATGCATCCATGATGCTTGCTTCGTAATGTTTAGTAGAGTCAATTAGTTTATCAGCGAAGCCAAGTTCAACTCCGTCAACTCCATTCATATGAAGTCCAGTAATGCCAAGGAAAGTACCAAGCTCTCCTGGGAGCCTGCTCAGATAATAGGTGGAGCCACCATGAGGTACAAACCCAAATTGCACATCATTGAAGGCAATAGTAGAATTGTGAGAAGTAATTGGGAAGCCTATGGCTTGAAGGAATGAAGCACCTGAGTTGAAGGAGTGTCCATGAGCGACAGCTAGCATTGGCTTGTTGACTTTTGCTGTGTAGATTTGCAAATCGTAGAGATCTTCTAAATATTATGCAATCTTCTCAGGCTGATTATGGGTCTTGTGATAAAGAAGAGTTCTGAAGTCAGTCCCATTGCAGAACTGCTCTCCCTTCTCAGAAGTTAAGTATATTAACTTAATATTGTCATCATTGTAGAGAGTTTCTATGCCTCTCTTGACGTTTTTAATGAAGTTTGAAGTCAAGGTGTTGAATCTATGTTCTCTGTTCATTCTCAAGTATCCTAAATGGCGATCGTAGGTAGCAGTAATATCAAGCTAAAATGCAAGTTAACATATTATAAAAGGAAGTTGTCAAAGAGATATTATAATTATATATTTAAAGATCTCTTACAATATCATGCATTGCCTAGGGCTAGGGTACTTCTTTTCTGTAAACGTAATGTGATGTAATGTCTCTCTTGGGGAGCTAAACACTGGAACTTTGAATAACTTGTGCATTTCTCTATAGACTGAAAAGTATGGGATCAAGTATATAATTTACAGATTTCTATAAAGTGATTTTTGAGATGCCTTTAACATCTTTAAATTCTATATAATAATATATACATAATAGGATTTTTAATCGCCACATATATTCCCATTTGTATTTATCAGCGGGGTTTTGGGGTTTTGGGGTTTTGGGG